TACGAGGACAAGGAGCTGGGATACGAGGACAAGGAGCTGGGATACGAGGACAAGGAGCTGGGATATGAGGACAAGGAGCTGGGATATGAGGACAAGGAGCTGAGATACGAAGACAAGAAAGCTGGGATACAAGGACAAGGAGCTGGGATACGAGGACAAGGAGCTGGGATACGAGGACAAGGAACTGGGATACGAGGACAAAGAGCTGGGATATGAGAACAATGAGCTGGGATATGAGGACACGGAGTAGGGATATAAGGAAAAGGACCTCAAATACGAAGGAGGGAAGAAATGGTGCCCCCCCCCCCCCAAGACACTAGTACCATTGGGGATCGAACTCGGACATGCAAGAAGTGAAGTCGTCGCCGTCCCGACCAGCCCATGTGATTGGACGAGAGTTATTTATAATTCTCGGCAGTCTTATTATAACAATATGTGTGTGTTGTTCTGCCTGGATGGGGGGCCCCGTGGGGGGTGGACTAGACAATGAATGCTGTCATAGTAATTGGTGTGTGTGTGTGTGTGTGTGAGTGTGAGTGTGTGTGTGGGTGTGTGTGTGGGTGTGTGTGTGTGTGTGTGTGTATACTCACCTAGTTGTGTCTGCAGGATCGAGCATTGACTCTTGGATCCCGCCTTTCGAGCATCGGTTGTTTACAGCAATGACTCCTGTCCCATTTCCCTATCATACCTGGTTTTAAAATTATGAATAGTATTTGCTTCCACAACCTGTTCCTGAAGTGCATTCCATTTTTCCACTACTCTCACGCTAAAAGAAAACTTCCTAACATCTCTGTGACTCATCTGAGTTTCCAGCTTCCACCCATGTCCCCTCGTTCTGTTACTATTACGTGTGAATATTTCATCTATTTCCACTTTGTCAATCCCCCTGAGTATTTTATATGTTTCTATCATATCCCCTCTCTCCCTTCTTTTTTCTAGTGCCGTAAGGCTCAGTTCCTTCAGGCGCTCTTCATACCCCATCCCTCGTAACTCTGGGACGAGCCTCGTTGCAAACTTCTGAACCTTTTCCAGTTTCCTTATGCGTTTCTTCAGGTGGGGACTCCATGATGGCGCGGCATACTCTAAGACTGGCCTCACGTAGGCAGTGTAAAGCGCCCTAAATGCCTCCTTACTTAGGTTTCTGAATGATGTTCTAACTTTTGCCAGTGTAGAGTACGCTACTGTCGATATGCTATACCCACACACAGACACACACACACTTGCGATGTGCGATTGACTTGCGACTGATTTAGGCTGGGTTCGAACCCTTCCCAGGAGTTATTGTCTGGGCCAGTGTTGCCAATTTGGAAGATTTACTTCTAGATGATTTTTGTTGACAGAATTTCTGAGACCTGGAACTTCAAGAACAAGAGGTCATAGATTTAAACTAACAACACAAACCTGCCGAAGAAACAAACTACGTTGGAACAAGTTAAGTGAGAAGGTGGAGGCCAAGACTGTTAGTAGTTTCAAAGCGTTATATGACAAAGAGTGCTGGGAAGACGGGACACCACGAGCGTAGCTCTCATCCTGTAACTACACTTAGGTAATTACACACCAGTAGGCTACACGTCGTTATCTCACAACTGAGCATCGCAGGTACGATCCCTGCGTCAGTACGGAACAGTTTGGGCAACCTTTTCTTTCAGCAGGTATGTACTGTATTCTGGGGATGGTCAGTAGAGAAAATAGGTTGGAAATCACTATTAAGACAATGAGCCGTTGGAAAGGCGGGGTCCAAGAGCTAAAGCTGAGATGCAGCAATATACAACATAGGTTACAACAATCAAAAGCTCAAATGATCACAAGTGCTGGACATTGGTGGTCCAACCACTTGGAGTGGACGGTAGAGCGATGGTCTCGCTTCATGCAGGTCGGCGTTCAATCCCCGACCGTCCAAGTGGTTGGGGGGCACCATTCCTTCCCCCCGTCCCATCCCAAATCCTTATCCTGACCCCTTCCCAGTGCCATATAGTCGTAATGGCTTGGCGCTTTCCCCTGATACTTGCCTCCCTGGGACCTGATACCTTGCCTCGCTGGGACCTGATACCTTGCCTCCCTGGGACCTGATACCTTGCCTCTCTGGGACCTGATACCTTGCCTCCCTGGAACCTGATACCTTGCCTCCCTGGGACCTGATACCTTGCCTCTCTGGGACCTGATACCTTGCCTCTCTGGGACCTGATACCTTGCCTCTCTGGGGTTGATACCTTGCCTCCCTGGCACCTGATACCTTGCCTCCCTGGCACCTGATACCTTGCCTCCCTGGCACCTGATACCTTGCCTCCCTGGGACCTGATACCTTGCCTCCCTGGCACCTGATACCTTGCCTCCCTGGGACCTGATACCTTGCCTCCCTGGGACCTGATACCTTGCCTCATTCTTCCCCCTTGACTAACACTACATTATGGACATTGGTGACCATCTTGTCATGTTGCTTCTCCAGTGATTGCGATCAACACAACCTTAGCCACAACGTCTTAATTCCTTGTAGTAAGATCAGAGGGCGGGGTCAAGCCATGTGTTCACTACATTATGGAACACGACACAAACAGGTGATCCATAACGTCAAAGGAAGTGAACGATCCGAGCGTATCAACTTCCTTTTAAGTTTCACTCCAATATCTTCATAACATCATTTGTGAGCAAAATTATTTCTTTTTTGTTTTTCGCGGACAACAACAACAACAACAACATTCTTGGTCATTACAGTGAGATAATGTAGTTTATCGTAGTGTCTCCGGAGCTAGTCTTCCCCGGCACGGAGGGACAGTCTCCGTGGTGTAGTGGTAAGACACTTGCCTGGCGTTCCGCGAGCGCTATGTCATGGGTTCGTATCCTGGCCGGGGAGGATTTATTGGGCGCAATTCCTTAACTGTAGCCTCTGTTTAACGCAACAGTAAAATGTGTACTTGGTTGTAACAACGATTCTTCGCGGCAGGGGATCGTATTCCAGGGACCATGCTTGCCCGAAACGCTACGCGTACTAGTGGCTGTACAAGAATGTAACAACTCTTGTATATATCTCAAAGAAAAAAAAAAGCTGGAGCCCTTACGGCAGTTCTTTGTTGCCTTCACCCTCGTTCTGACAGTTCCTGCCACGGTGCTGGAACCAATCGCATTGGCGTTTGCCTTTCCATTATTGACTTTCGGCGTCGTGAAGAGGGGGGGGACCTGCTGCTTGGGTAACAGCTTCTGCTCCATATCAACCAACCCTGGTTTTGCGCCCTGGAGAGGCCACTCCAGACCGACAACCCGAGGGCTACTCCACAGTCTCCCGAGACTGATGGATCCCTACTACTACTTATTTGCGTAATTCTAAGTATCAAAATATTTATGAAAGCCTCAATGGACCCATATTAATTACGTCATTGTAAGTGGTTTTGGCTACCTGTGCCTAGTGACTTCGTCCCGAGCGGCGTCCCAGGTTACCTGTGCCTAGTGACTTCGTCCCGAGCGGCGTCCCAGGTTACCTGTGCCCAGTGACTTCGTCCCGAGCGGCGTCCCAGGTTACCTGTGCCCAGTGACTTCGTCCTGAGCGGCGTCCCAGGTTACCTGTGCCCAGTGACTTCGTCCCGAGCGGCGTCCCAGGTTACCTGTGCCCAGTGACTTCGTCCCGAGCGGCGTCCCAGGTTACCTGTGCCCAGTGACTTCGTCCTGAGCGGCGTCCCAGGTTACCTGTGCCCAGTGACTTCGTCCTGAGCGGCGTCCCAGGTTACCTGTGCCCAGTGACTTCGTCCTGAGCGGCGTCCAGGTTACCTGTGCCCAGTGACTTCGTCCCGAGCGGCGTCCCAGGTTACCTGTGCCCAGTGACTTCGTCCTGAGCGGCGTCCCAGGTTACCTGTGCCTAGTGACTTCGTCCTGAGCGGCGTCCCAGGTTACCTGTGCCCAGTGACTTCGTCCTGAGCGGCGTCCCAGGTTACCTGTGCCCAGTGACTTCGTCCTGAGCGGCGTCCCAGGTTACCTGTGCCCAGTGACTTCGTCCTGAGCGGCGTCCCAGGTTACCTGTGCCCAGTGACTTCGTCCTGAGCGACGTTTTCCACTTGAAATGTGTGGAAACGCCAACCATTATCCTGCCCCGTCCTCCACCATTACAGGGCAGAGCACCAAGCCATTACGACTATATAGCCCTTGGAAGGGATCAGGATAAAGATATGGGATGGGACGGGGGAAAGGAATGGTGTCCAACCCCTTGGACGGTCGGGGATTGAACGCAGACCTATATGATGCGAGACCGTCGCTCTATCGTCCAGCCCAAGTGGTGAAATAGACAAGAAGCTTCCTAAGTCAGGTCACGTTTGTTAAGAAGGTTGGAGTATTAGAGTATATACTGTGAAAGGGAAGAGTCAAGAGCAACAAAGCCAGGACTAAGGTTCATGTTGGGAAGGTTGTGTATGAGAGCCACAGTCAACAAGACGGCGTCTGTCAAGAGTAGAGGCAGGAAACATTATTGTAGAACACTACCAATCAATAGGGTGATTAGCGTCCCTAACATGACACAAGAGAGCAGTGTTTGTGTCTGCACACTTAACACTTCTTGTGTGTTCCTTAAGTCTGTCATTAACAGTAGGGGCCAGTTACACCAAAGTACTGGAGAGGACAACACCAACAGGGAGTAGTGTAGACACCAGCAGCAGCAGCAGCAGGAGCAGCAGCATTAGCAGCAGCAGCAGCAGCAGCAGGAGCAACAGCATTAGCAGCAGCAGCAGCAGCAGCAGGAGGAGCAGCATTAGCAGCAGCAGCAGCAGGAGGAGCAGCATTAGCAGCAGCAGCAGGAGGAGCAGCATTAGCAGCAGCAGCAGCACCAGCAGCAGCAGCAGGAGCAGCAGCAGTGTGGACCACATTACTACGAAAATTGTTAGTTTGTCGAATCATGTAATGTATAAATTTTATGTACATATTATACATAAAATTCCCCTTCCTGAAGATATTAGTTTTTCGCCTGATTTACCACACTTATTACCTTATTTCTAAATTGGTATCACTATTCTGGGGAAAAACAATAATTATTGTTAAAATATTTCTTATATTGGTATAGTTATGCTCCTAAGGCTCCTTGAAGAGGTTTATATCAATACAAATATTATTTTACACACTTCTTGGAATACTAAAATGGCGTCCAAATGACGTCAGCCAAGCCTATATTTGGCGCCGTACGGCGCACTTTCCGTAGAGACTCGTTGGTTATGCTCGGGCTAACGCCAGCCAGCGAGCCTACAAACAAGATCAGCTGGCATGTGACGTCATCTATCAATGTGTGTGACGTCACACATCAACGGGAACGTGCGTACTACTGGATACTATCAACGGAAACTATCGCGCGCCTGATGTCAACAACGACGTTCTGTGATTTCAAAATTTCGAATACTTACGAGTTGCATAATGACGAAATAATGATAGAATACTCAGGAAATAATGATAGAATAGTCAGGAAATAATGATAGAATAGTCAGGAAATAATGATAGAATACTTAGGAAATAATGATAGAGTACTTGTATGATGGGTGGAGTACATGTGAAGAGGTCGAGTACTAACCTTCCTGGGCTGAGGAGGACGTGGGAGAACATGCTCGACCTCGTCCTCGGAGCCGCTGACGTTGGTGCAGGAGGAGCAGTCTGAGCACCGCCGCTGCGGCACCTCCATGAGTGAGGCGAGGCTGACTGGCGTGAGAGTGAGGGGCGTGGTCATGTCTACGGTGCTCACACTCGAGCACGAGGAGCAGCTCGACACCTTGCGGGTCGAGTCCTCGCTGGGGGTTAGCGTCGGGGAGCGTCGGAGTGCGTCGGAGAGCGTCGGGGACGACGCAGAGTGCTGGAGGCTGCCCAGCTTGTCGAGGGTGAAGTCGCTGGAGGCTAGAGCCACCGTGAGACTCACGGTGTCGCCGCTGTGGTCGCTGATCACCACCGAGGGCGTGCGCAGGGCTCTCCTACTGTCGCCCTCGGCGCTGCTCTCACCCTCCAGCAGGCACGCGTCGCCGAGGCCCACCACCTGCCGCAGGAGGACATCGCCGTTTAGGCCGCCGCAGCGCCGCAGGTAAGTGTCGTGTGCGGTGAGGCTCCTGCCGCAGGTCTTCTGCCGCAGCACCACCTCCCCGGGGCTGCTGTTACTACTCGAGTCCTCACCGGTCACCCTCGAGTCCTCACCGGTCACCCTCGAGTCCTCACCAGTCACCCTCGAGTCCTCACCGGTCCCCCTCGAGGCGCCATCAGCGGTCACCCTCGAAGCGCCATTGGCTCGTCCTTGACAAGCACTACAGGAGCGCTCGTTAACGCCCGGGTCGTCGTTGACCTGCCGAACGCCCACTATCGGGGAAACAGCGGGCGACAGGTCGACCTCGACCGCGCTGTCGGCCGAGTGTGACCGTGCCCAGTGGTCGAGGACGTGGCCAGCGGACATGGATCGCACGAGTGGCAGGTCCTCGACGGAGCCCAAGTGTGACCCCATGGAGGAGGCGGGGGAGAGTGACCTGAAGGGGGTGATTAGCCCCGACAGGCGATTAGCGGTGGAACTGCGGAACACAGGGGAGGGAGGGGGGGTGGGGCCCTCTGACCCCTCCTCTTGAGGACAACCTTCGTCACTGGCGGCCGAGTCCAGACGCGCCAAGGAGGAGCTGAGCTTGGAGGAGGAGTGTTGTGGGTGTGCCCGCGTGCCCTGAGCAGGCGCCGTCAGGTTGGGGTCACTCGCCCATCGCCAGGACGGAGCACTCCACGGCAGGGAGAAGGACCGGAGCCGTAGGACGCCCTCCCCATCACTGGACTCCAGCGACCCCTGGCGGGAGTCCTGCGGGGAGTCCTGGGGTGTGGGGGGGCGCGTGGGGCGGCGGCGGGGGGGCTGGAGCAGGAGGCTGGAGCAGGAGCGTGCGGTGAGGAGCGTGGCCTGAGAGGTGTTACGAGCACGGAGCATATCTGTGTACTGCTGCACTAGAGTCCTCACGCTCACATCCGGTAGGTTATCATATTTCCCGCCCCCTCCCTCACCTATCTGCCCCCCCTCTCGGCCAGCCCCACGCTCCCCCTCCCCCCCATCCTTCCCCCCACCTCTGGACTCCGGCAGGTAGCGGAGGTAGCGACGGTACGCTACGGAGTCCACCGTAGGGGCGGCTGGGTGGCTCCCCTGCCCGCCCCTCGGCCACACACTATTGGACACTCTCATCTTCCCAGCAGCTCTAGGGGCGGCACGCCGACCATGTTGGGTGGCACACACACACACCTGTAACATGAACAAACATGTAAGTAATTATAAAAAAAAAAAATACACAAGGACTCAACCAGCATTTACGAAACCTGTACATCTTTCCTCAATACTTGATGAGTCCTGGCTTAGAACATGTCACGGAAACTGAGGCTAGAAATTGATATATATATATATATATATATATATATATATATATATATATATATATATATATATATATATATATATATATATATATATATATATATATAATATATATATATATATATATATATATATATATATATATATATATATATAATATATATATATATAATATATATATATATATATATATATATATATATATATATATAATATATATATAATATATATAATATATATATATATATATATATATATATATAATGCGAACAAGCCTGAATGGTCCCCAGGACAATATGCAACTGAAAACTCACACCCCAGAAGTGACTCGAACCCATACTCCCAGAAGCAACGCAACTGGTATGTACAAGACGCCTTAATCCACTTGACCATCACGACCGGACATAATGAGGTGATAGCATATCACCTATTTTCAGTTGCATATTGTCCTGGGGACCATTCAGGCTTGTTCGCATTTGTGTTCCTCACGTGTGCCCCAAAGAATGAGGTGATTTGGTAAAATGCTATGCCCAAGATTACTATCCGAGTGCCGGCGGTGGGGTGGTTCAAATAGCCTCGGCTATCACCTCATTATGTCCGGTCGTGATGGTCAAGTGGATTAAGGCGTCTTGTACATACCAGTTGCGTTGCTTCTGGGAGTATGGGTTCGAGTCACTTCTGGGGTGTGAGTTTTCAGTTATATATAATATATATATATATATATATATATATATATAATATATATATATATATATATATATATATATATATATATATATAATATATATATATATATATATATATATATATATAATATATATATATAATATAATATAATATAATATATATATATATATATATATATATATATATATATAATATATATATATATATATATATATATATATATATATATATATATATATATATATATAATATAATATATATATATATAATATATATATATATATATATATATATATATATATATATATATATATATATATATATATATATATATATAATATATATATAATTCGTCATTCGTCTGCCATCCCTGAATCCATGTTGATGCTGTGTTACAAAGTTCTTTCGCTCCAGATGTTCCACTAGATTTCTTCGCACAATCTTCTCCATCAACTTGCATGGTATGCAGATTAGGGACACTGGTCTGTAATTCAGTGCCTCCTGTCTATCCCCTTTCTTGTGTGTGTGTGTGTGTGTGTGTGTACTCAACTAGTTGTGCTTGCGGGGGTTGAGCTCTGGCTCTTTGGTCCCGCCTCTCAACTGTCAATCAACTGGTGTACAGGTTCCTGAGCCTATTGGACTCTATCATATCTACACTTGAAACTGTGTATGGAGTCAGCCTCCACCACATCACTGCCTAATGCATTCCATCCGTTAACTACTCTGACACTGAAAAAGTTCCTTCTAACGTCTCTGTGGCTCATGTGAGTACTCAGTTTCCACCTGTGTCCCCTTGTTCGCGTCCCACCAGTGTTGAATAGTTTATCCTTGTTTACCCGGTCGATTCCTCTGAGGATTTTGTAGGTTGTGATCATGTCTCCCCTTACTCTTCTGTCTTCCAGTGTCGTAAGGTGCATTTCCCGCAGCCTTTCCTCATAACTCATGCCTCTTAGTTCTGGGACTAGTCTAGTGGCATACCTTTGGACTTTTTCCAGCTTCGTCTTGTGCTTGACAAGGTACGGGCTCCATGCTGGGGCCGCATACTCCAGGATTGGTCTTACATATGTGGTGTACAAGATTCTGAATGATTCCTTACACAGGTTCCTGAACGCTGTTCTGATGTTAGCCAGCCTCGCATATGCCGCAGACGTTATTCTTTTTATGTGGGCTTCAGGAGACAGGTTTGGTGTGATATCAACTCCTAGATCTTTCTCTCTGTTCGTTTCATTAAGTACTTCATCTCCTATTCTGTATCCTGTGTTTGGCCTCCTATTTCCACCACCTAGTTTCATTACTTTGCATTTACTCGGGTTGAACTTCAACAGCCATTTGTTGGACCATTCACTCAGTCTGTCTAGGTCATCTTGTAGCCTCCTACTATCGTCCTCAGTTTCAATCCTCCTCATAATTTTTGCATCATCGACAAACATTGAGAGAAACGATTCTATACCCTCTGGAAGATCATTTACATATATCAGAAACAGTATAGGTCCAAGGACTGACCCCTGCGGTACTCCACTCGTAACGTCTCGCCAATCTGAGACCTCACCCCTCACACTGACTCGTTGTCTCCTGTTACTTAGGTACTCCTGTATCCAACGGAGTACCTTCCCTTTCACTCCAGCCTGCATCTCCAGTTTTTTCACTAGCCTCTTGTGTGGCACTGTGTCAAAGGCTTTCTGACAATCCAAAAATATGCAGTCTGCCCACCCTTCTCTTTCTTGCCTTATTTTTGTTACCTAGGGTCTGGGACACCCTAGCTGGGTGTCCCAGACCCCTAGCTGGGTGTCCCAGACCCCTAGCTGGGTGTCCCAGCCCCTAGCTGGGTGTCCCAGCCCCTAGCTGGGTGTCCCAGCCCCTAGCTGGGTGTCCCAGACCCCTAGCTGGGTGTCCCAGCCCCCTAGCTGGGTGTCCCAGCCCCTAGCTGGGTGTCCCAGACCCCTAGCTGGGTGTCCCAGACCCCTAGCTGGGTGTCCCAGACCCCTAGCTGGGTGTCCCAGACCCCTAGCTGGGTGTCCCAGCCCCCTAGCTGGGTGTCCCAGCCCCTAGCTGGGTGTCCCAGACCCCTAGCTGGGTGTCCCAGACCCCTAGCTGGGTGTCCCAGCCCCCTAGCTGGGTGTCCCAGCCCCTAGCTGGGTGTCCCAGCCCCTAGCTGGGTGTCCCAGACCCCTAGCTGGGTGTCCCAGCCCCCTAGCTGGGTGTCCCAGCCCCCTAGCTGGGTGTCCCAGACCCCTAGCTGGGTGTCCCAGACCCCTAGCTGGGTGTCCCAGACCCCTAGCTGGGTGTCCCAGACCCCTAGCTGGGTGTCCCAGCCCCCTAGCTGGGTGTCCCAGCCCCTAGCTGGGTGTCCCAGACCCCTAGCTGGGTGTCCCAGACCCCTAGCTGGGTGTCCCAGACCCCTAGCTGGGTGTCCCAGACCCCTAGCTGGGTGTCCCAGACCCCTAGCTGGGTGTCCCAGCCCCTAGCTGGGTGTCCCAGACCCCTAGCTGGGTGTCCCAGCCCCCTAGCTGGGTGTCCCAGACCCCTAGCTGGGTGTCCCAGACCCTAGCTGGGTATCCCAGACCCTGGAACACCGCCAACATATTCAGCTTGGGCAACACTGGCATGCTTTTACCGGTCCAAACAGTACGCCATTATACGCCACAACCCACTTTACGCGACGAAGATGATTCTCATTAGTCCTGGAAAGCGTAGATTTTGCAATGTTTATATATATATATAATGTATATATATATTCTTTTTTGGGGTGTTGCTCTAGCTCCGGGGCACCACCTAACGAGTAGAGAGTTGATGAATATCTCACCACTAAATAAATCTTAAATCTTACGTCTATCAGTATATGACCCAAAACGAAAATGATATAATTGGACAAAATTGGACAGAAATACATGTACAAACAAATACGGGATGATGATGACAATCGAATATAATCTAAGATTAAAGCAATCTAAGATGATTAATCTACGACAATCTAAGATGATTAATCTACGACAATCTAAGATGATTAATCTACGACAATCTAAGATGATTAATCTACGACAATCTAAGATAATTAATCTACGACAATCTAAGATGATTAATCTACGACAATCTAAGATGATTAATCTACGACAATCTAAGATGATTAATCTACGACAATCTAAGATGATTAATCTACGACAATCTAAGATGATTAATCTACGACAATCTAAGATGATTAATCTACGACAATCTAAGATGATTAATCTACGACAATCTAAGATGATTAATCTACGACAATCTAAGATGATTAATCTACGACAATCTAAGATGATTAATCTACGACAATCTAAGATGATTAATCTACGACAATCTAAGATAATTAATCTACGACAATCTAAGATGATTAATCTACGACAATCTAAGATGATTAATCTACGACAATCTAAGATAATTAATCTACGACAATCTAAGATGATTAATCTACGACAATCTAAGATAATCTACGACAATCTAAGATTAATCTACGACAATCTCAGAGAACCCACGACAGTCTAAGACAATCTAAGGTTTGGCTTTATCAGGCCAGCAACAGAGAGAGAGACCGTTATGAGTTAACCCAGGGTGCCACCTCGTATATGGGGCAGTAGACCTTCAACAATGTATATCATTCTTAGCAGTCCTCATGCTAAGAATGGCCATTGCTAATGGCCACTTGGGCTAAGAATGAGCACTGCGCCATGTCTTACCATAGCGCATTGGTGACACATTCGCCCGGCGCTTCGCAAGCGCTTTGGTCTGGGTTCGTATCCTGGCCGGGGAGGATTGACTGGGCACCAAACCTTAACTGTACACCCCAGCAGTGAATGGGTACCTGGTTGTTAAACGATTTGGCGGGTCGTATTCCGGGGAAAATTAGGATTAAAGACGTGCCCGAAACGCTACGGGTGCTGATGGCTGTACAAGAATGTAGTAACTCTTGTATATATATAAATAATAAACATTGTGATGGTGTAAAACTGTTTTGCGTACAGCAACAGCCCACAAAACCAGTACTGTGAGTACCCCAGAAGTCAGCAGTTGAGACGCACGCTAACTGACGACCACCTGGGCATAACAACCATGTCCGCTAGTTAACATTCACATCACTTAAGAACATAAGAACATAAGAACAAAGGTAACTGCAGAAGGCCTATTGGCCCATACGAGGCAGCTCCTATTCTATA